TGTGCTGGTTGGGCGACATAACAGGTTACCGCTACTGTTTATTCCAAAAACATTGTGCGTCTTTCGGAATTAAATTCTAAAAATATCACGTAAATTTCGTTACAATTTCTCAGAAACGATCATTGCGGGAAAATTGTGGGCCGGGACTAAGATTTTTGATGCGATAAAACGATAGTTCGAGGAACGATAGAAGCGGGAAAATGTAACATTATTTTATATGGGATGTATTCGGGACCGAACAAAACGGACGATGCATCCGGGAAAACGATAGTTCCGGGAACGATGGATAGAGGTTTCACTGTATACTATTCAACCAGTCATACCAACTGTCAAGGTTGAGCTGATACTGGTCATAGTGCCAGAAAAAGAGACTGACTCAGTAAACTCAATAAATCTACATTATTTGCTGTGCATTCCAATAAAGAGATGAGGTGAATGCAAGTAATAAGCTTATGATTTTGTTTCCTTTAATTTACACCATTTTTATCAGTCCCCAGAAAAGTGTAAGGACACGGCCCCACTGTGTGTCAGCAGAATAATGACCAATCGCTTGAACAAGGAGGCGGAGCAAACTCCTGAAACTCCACGACAACCAAATTTACCTCAGACAATGGACAACGGTGTGATGTTAACAATCAACCATTGCCACAAGCCTTTTGAGAACCATCAAGGTCAACAAACAACAAATACCTGAACAATTCTTGCGTACGTTTCATCCTTTTCTGACACTCTGGGATCTAGAATGATGACTTGCTCTGGAATTTCTATCTCAAAAGTCATCTGCAAGAAAGACAAAGTTATTATAAAACAAGTACTGCTGACAAGAACATCACTGTTACCAAACGATGTTTCCACTAGGAGAGTCACTTTATGAAAAGCCTCAACCAGTCTCCTCCATCCTCCATGCCTAAAATCTTCCTTCCCTTGATCTCACCAGTTGTGGTAATTTTCTTTTAGATACATTAATTTTCTAAGCTTCCTGAAGCAGGTAACTTATAATACATGTACCACGCTAAAAGTACGTACCCTGAAAAAACTAGCAGTGAACAGGTATGCCCTCTAAAAATTTCTAGCATGTGCTGATCAAACTAAAACCATCATAGAATTTTCTGTGTAAATCAAAATAAACACAAGACAAATCTGTAATATCTAGGAGTTTCTGTGTCTCACTCTGTAGCACATACAGCAATAAAGGTGGCACTAACTGAAACTATTGGTTTTAATCTGAACTGCTGTTTGTGTCTACTTTTCAAATATAATTTTTAAACCATGCAGAACATCTTAAAAGCACCCTTCAAAATCCAGCAACTAAATTCGGTACTTATGCATACATTTCCAAATCACAGTTCTTGTGCCAGGGCGTTTGTCTATTATTCACATGTCCTTTGCATTTGTACACCCACAAGTGTCTGTGTCTCATATTCTTATGTGCGGCTTGTATTATAAATTATCTTAGTGCAAGTAAATACGGTGCTCAAAACAAGAGAAGCACAGTGTCACTGGTTCAATGGATGGATGTTAAAGTGTGGGAATCTATTTTTTATTTATTTGTATTCTAGGATATTGTGCCATGCAGTCTGGTGGATTCTGACCAATGTTTCAGAGCAGCCTACTGCCTCCATCATCATGGCAATAGTATGCAAAGTGTGGGAAAGTTTAGGTAGATACAGGAGCAGGTTGGGCAAGGCTGAGCCCTGGCTGCATCAATGGGAGTGGGGAGGAGGGGGAGGACTAGACACATGGAAACAGGAAATACAATATGTGGAATAAAGTTAGAAAAAACATCTTAACATCAGCAGCATGAAATAAAAGAACAACGGAAAATATAACAATTGTAATAAATAAATAAAAGATGAGAAAATAATAAAATAATGCTACACAAAGGATGGGAAGAAATAAACCTTTTAGAGCTGAAGTAATCAACAATGAAAATCACAACAACAAAACATACACAATGAAACAAGAAATAATAAGCAGGAAATATTGAAAGGAGAAATGAAATAAATAAACAGAATTAGAAGAACTGAATGAAAAATATCTAGTTTCACAGCCACACAAAATAAGAAATGCGATTACTTTAGATGCCTTTTGACAGCAGACAGGAAGACAAAGGATTCTGAACTGAATGGCAATGAGCATTATGCAAATTTAACATTCCACTCTGTATCCTATGAAGCTGATAAAGAATCATAAAATACAAACAGATATTTATACTAGAATGAGTCTGGTATCTGACAGCACAGGGCGAACCCACCTGTTTCCGAGTGAACAACTCGACGAGGGCAGCTGCCATACCACCATTTGTCACCACGGCTTCTAGGCCTGGCGTAGCAGCATCGTGATCGTGCTCAGCGAGCCACGTGCAGACCTTCTTCGCCATCAAGTAGCTCTGATAGAAAATCTCATGCTGATATTTTGTTTGAAGCTGGTACATGTAGCTGAAGATAGAAACATTCAAAATGCATAAAGCAGAGTCCTCCACAAGAAGCTGACAGTCGCTCAGCCGGCTTTCTACAGAACTCAAACATTCACAACAGACCACCACTAGACCCTAAAATTAGTCCACTGATTATGGTTCATGCTTTTACATCATACCACTTATTAACACTTCATGTTGCCTTTCTAAGTCACACACATGCAACTCACTGGAATTATAAGCATCTTTACACGTATCTGTGTTACTAGTCTAGTGTCTATATTCAAACTGAAGTGTGTTTGTGTCCTGTGCAGAAAACACTTTCATTATGGCATAGTCCATTAGCTTAGTTAAACTTTAAAGATTGAAAGGGACATCCGTCCTGTAACATGTAATTGTGAGAGGCTGAATGGGATATAACTGTCCTGTTATGTCATAGCATTATTAAAAGGTTTACATACTTGAAAAATAAGATGCTTTTGTGTCTGATGTGATTTTATGGGCTCTTTAGATTGCCATTAGTAATTAAAAACTGCTTTTCATTTGTCTCTATACATATTTTAATTTTTGTGCTATAAAAAGTCATCCCATAACCATGGAAATGAAATAAGGAAGAAGAAGACTTGCTCACTGAAATATTTGTTATTTCACTACAACAATTTACTCCACCCTGGGATAAATTTTTTAATGGTTTAATATATTATATAAGAAAACACAAGTAATTAATTACATAAAAAACTGCACAGACTTCTGGAAATGTTACAGGCATAATCAGCGTGGATCTGAGGAATGTCCTCACCTCACAGAAAGCTGATAAGGAGATGATGACACGGGCAAGAAGTTTCCAGTTTTCTGCTTCAGACGTATGTAACTCTTCTTCAGAGAAACCATCTGGTCAGAACGAATCTTGGCCATGGCAGAGCGAAGCAGGTTATCAGGATACTGCTGGTAAACTTGAAACAGCTGGTACGTGTATGAGGTTTTGTCCGAAACACAACAGAGTGAGCTCTAGAGCAATAAAATTACATTTAAAGCAAAATCAATATTAAAGAAACATAACAGAAATGGAGTACTTTCTATCAGAGCAACAACTCGCAAGTAAGACATAGGAAAAGTTGGCCAAATTAAATATACAACAGCATGAATGCGTACTATTTATGATAATATTTTTGATATGCCAACAATGTCATGCGTGCAATACTTCTGCCATCACAGCTTTAGCAAATCTTCTCCTTAGGAAACTTACATGAATAATAGCATTCACAACGGCACAGTAGATGTCCACCACATTTTTCACGTCCTGGAAACTTCCTTTTCTTTTAACTGTTGCTGGAGGATACAATAACTCATACTCCTTCCTGTAAGCAGTGCAACAGTTTTTACCGAAGTGTAAACAAAACACAAACAGAGCAGACAATTCCTAGTACTTATTTTCACTGACCTGAATTCTACTGGTGACTCTGGGATTATCTCATACAACACTTTGTAGTCTGATGGTTGAGGATTAAATTTACGCTGTAGAACACTAACCAAAGTCTTAAACTTCTCAGCAGTCATTTGTTCCAAATTTTCTGTGTTGTCAGTCCTTCTATGTAACTCTTGAATTGTATTCTGCAGAATCAAAATAAATTTTTAAACACGTATTATTTCAAGTCTGTAGTGTACCATCCTGGTGTGTCACGCTGAATTCGTGGTTTTTCTGCTTGTCAATTTTCACACACTGTATGATTATCCCTCCAAGTTGAATGTGTTTGGTGCGTTGTTGTAGAATGACGTGGGATATGGACCAAAGAAACATAAAAACATTATGATAATCACTTTAGCAAGGAATAATTTTTTAACCAAATTTTGAATGTTTTTATGTATAGTTAACATTATTACTGGATGTCAAAATGTAAGAACAGTAACTGATAACAGAATGACATCATTTGGACATGTTACTTGTCCTCATACACAGTGAAGGAATTATTCAGCTAATCTACTTAAACAAACAAGTCTTCTTCTCCTTCTTCTTCCTTATGTCATTTCCACACTCATGAGTTGACTTTTAATTAGCACAAAAATGAAACTGTGTACAGAGACAAATAAAAATCAATATTTTATTTAATAAAAATAGCTGAAAACCATTATTATATTAACATAAATGATGATATTTTATGTTAATGAATTGATAACCTAATTGTACTAGTGAGATTTGAGGTTGTCATAGTAGTGAATATGACAATGTTGTTCTTCTGGTTGTGACACTATGTGGATTCATAGGTAGACACCAATTTCCCTGATAATGGGGGCAGCAAGGACCTCTGAAACGTCAGTAAACTTCTACCAGACTGCCTGGAGCAACAACACAGAAGACAGCTATCTAAAGCCGATGAGTTTTCATGTTTCTGTGAACTCTTCAAATGCATGCACAAATTTTTTGACAGAAAATGAGCGACACTGATGCTCAATATCAAATGAAGCTACAGGCATAACAGCATGAATCTGTACTTCAAAGGCAGTTTTAAAATTGCATGTTTCACTATAATTATCCATCAAAGGTAGGAAGCACTGTGTAAAAGCAACTTACCTCAAACTGCTTGACAATGACTGGGTCCTGTCTCACAACCTCCAAGTGAAGGGCAACACTGTGAGCAGTAGCTGGATTCTTCATCATGTACAAAATCCGACGCTGACAAGCACGAGATGTTTTATTGTGAGAAGCCTGAACACAAATAACACAGAACATGATCTCTACACACAGCGCAATGGCAGTCACTGCATTCTACTAAACTTCCCAAGAACAAATAATAATGTAAAATCTATTTAACAAAATAAGTATCTAGTTAGAATCTATCAAGTTCACGTGGAATTTTTTTATTTACTGAAACTATCCCACTGGTAACAGAATCTATAAATTCAACACCACAATATCAACGCTTGCCACTGAACATTATCCTAAGCAAAATAAAATCTGGTGCCAGAAAGGTATTTATGGGAGACCATTGTTGCATCCAGTCACATCAGAACCCTGACGATGAGGATGGAGATGGTTCCCAAACCAATCATCTCTTAGCGCAACCAACTGACGCGGCAAATTGCCCGAGAAGATTTTACTGACTTTAGTCACCATAAAAGATTCAAATCATATATTAAGTCACTCACATCCATCTCATACCCAGAACTCATTTCAATCAGATCAACTTGGCTTCAAATATTGCTATTTTTGAATAATTTCCCCACAAAATAAATCTATAAAAAAAAATTCATCCATCCAAACTATATGTACAGCCCATTTAACGTCTTTGATTACTGCACTGCAAATAATGGTTAGGTTGAAAACAATTAAGAGGTAAAAAGAGGAAAAGATCTGTGTTGCTGCAAATTTAAAGGCATTAATATTATAAAGTAGGAATTGTAACAAAACCTGTGTATTCTTCTTGTTCAGTTACATGATGTTGAAGCATTCCTATAAGTTACTCATGTTATATATACTGCATACAAATCATTAAGTTAAGCCATTTTAAGTTCCATGATGTAAGGTTAACACCCCACCCCCCATAAATTTCAAGCAGTTCACACATGTTTTGCAACTTACAGGACATGTCTTATGCAGATGATCCCGTATCATTTGGAAGGTGACAATCTGTTTGCGGGGTACAGGGCACAAGTACATGCTGGCAACCTTGCAGAGCAACAGCACATTGTCCTCTGATGCAGACCATTCCACACGCCTATAATAAAATATGTGTACAGTAGATTATCAGTGCATGCCTCTTACATGCCATATAAATCCTTGTACATATATGGCACAACTGCTGTTTAAAACACAACTAGTACTTTATGGAGCTGGCTAGTGAGCCATAGTGTAGCCCTGAAGATAGAGACTGAATGCTACTGCTGCTGCTGGCATCTACCTACAAGTCTACAGGTGGCAAAACCCAGGACAATGGTACCGTCCCCACCACCACGAAAACCTCAGATTTCAGAACGAGTTCATTTGTTTCAGCTTGGAGTTTACAGTAATAATGAATACAACCTCCAAAAAAGGTGTGGTGGGTTTGAGATTTAGTAAAGAATATTTTTGTACCTTGGAAACTAAGCATGACAGAAGAATGATGCCAACACCAAATATGTTTCAAAGAGGTGATTACAGGGACAAAAGCCAATACCTCGAAAATCGTTCCTGGGTTTGAGCCCCGTGACACCATAACAAAAGTTAATGATTTTTCTTTTCATGTAATGCATATTTGTGGTGACAAACTGTTTGGCGGCTTTCCATATCATATGCATGGAAATGGAAAATATCATTGTTCAAAGTTTATTAGCATTAAGTCACTGATTCTGTTAATTAATTTCACAAATGAAAATACTGTTTGAGTATTCAATTACTTCCATTTCTCAGTATGCCACTGCATAACACTTTTCAGAATTCAACAACCTGAGGAGGAAGAACAGAAGGAATGTGTAAAATCCTGACTATGAAACTAATACTGCAGATGATACTGTAAAGAGAAAAGTTATTCAGTTAATAAAAAATAATTTTTTCCTATGATATTCAGGGATTTGTATCAAATAATCAGACCTAAGGAAACCTTTTGGGCAAGAAATATAAGCATCTGATGAATTTCCCCACAGTTAACAGTGGGCACTCTACTGTTGTTTAATATTGTCCTACTGGATTTTCTTATAACATTAATGAAGATTTCAAGAAAAATTATTACATACATTTTTAAACATGACCTATATCACTTTATGTTGAGTAGCATCATATAACTTAATTTGCTGATTTTCTAAAATAGCAACAATGTTCTACAATAATATATATATATATACATGTCAATGGGCAATCAGGCTTAAAGTGACGCATACTTACAACTTGCTCATGAGCTGGAGAGCCTTGATATCAACCTCATCATAATACGGCTTGTGAACACTTCTCGTCTTGCGCGGTAGGACATGCCGAACGACTTTCTTTTTCTTTGGACCTTTGCGTCCTCCTGGAGTGTCTTTCTTTGCTACAGCTCTGCGACTTCCTCCTCCTCCACGTCTCTTCTTGGCAGGAAAAGTTCCGTTTGCAGATTTTTCTTGGGGCTTCTAAACAAACATGAAGACTTTTTGAAGCAGGACAGATCACCTCTTTCAAATAGATAACAACAACTGTGATTAACTACCTTTAATCATCTCACACACACACACACACATATATATATATAAAATAGTTATAAATATGATGTTGCTTCAGCAATTTCATGGAAAGCTCTATGAGAGTCTCAGTGTGTCATGGAAAACTTGATAAATCTGTATTAAAGTATTTTCTCAGTGAATTTAATACTCTAACTGTAAAACCAAAGTATTTTTCATCAACATTTGTAAAGGCAGAGAAAACTACTCATCGTCCAACATGAATAAATTCTGTTTTACTGACAAAGGAGATAAACAGAATATTATCATTTACAGCTGATGCCTGTACTGTTCATTAGGTATTCATGCAAGTGTGTGAAAAGCACACCTCATGGGTTGGTTATTATGTCTGTCCACATGATTCAACTCAAAAACCACTGGATGGATTTCAACAAAATTTAGTATGGACTTTATGCCATTGGAAACTATTCTAAAATCATATCTTTCAATTACCTACAATCATTAATACCAACATGAACAAATAACAATAAACTTAGACCGTTTTTGCTCAAATGTTATCAAACAACTCTAATTGTTGGACTGGTTACTGAGATAAGATTAGTGTAAGAATGGTCTCAGATGCAACAATGACATCTGATAATAGTTGAAAAATGGACAAGGGCACAGTAACACTGATTTGGGCTGAGATCAGTGCAGGAATTGTCTGAGAAGCAATGAACAACTCAAATAACATCAGTGTATGAATGGTCTCGTAAAAGTAACAGTACAATAATTAGACTGACTTCACGGAGTGTCTGGTGTATACTTCAATTTGTATGTTTTATTTACCTGAAAGATTTCACCAAACTGAAGTGGTTCAGTTTTGAGACTAGCTAGCCGTGCCTTCCTCTGTTCATGTACACGGGGTTTAACTGCCTGAAAAACATATTAATATATCACTGTTCAAGGAGCTGGCATTCAAGCCCCTTTGAATCTCATTTCCAGCACTTACCAACACATCATGTAAACATACACACAACACAATTTTGAGTTACCCATACCTGAACCCCACGTTATATGGATAAATGCTTACAGTCTCTCAGACTTCTATATTAAATTTCTAGGAGTCAACAGTGAACAAGTTAATGAAACGTGCAATCCATCAATTTCCTTTGTTTTTTCTCCCCCACCCTCTCCCTCTATTGTCTTTCTTATTATTACAGTTATCAATATCATTATTTCCACACATTTCAAGTACATGACAAGTGCCAAGATTTGACATGTATGAGCTGCTTTCATTTATATTTAAGAAAAATTTTCATCACAAAATAAGGGTGAAAATCTCATGCAGGAAATTTCAAAGCTGAGTATGAAACACTATAAATGTCTCACATGCTCCATTCAAGCAAAACTAATAACACTGTACATGTGCGCACGATATAGTGGTCTTTTGGGTTGTAATATCATGTGCTCTTGTACATGGTTAACATCATTTCAGAGGAACATATTGCTTCCAGAAAATGGACCCTCTAAAACGTTGGTAACCACTGACTACAAGTCCACACAATACTGCAACCTGAGCACCAGCACTGGCATCTTCACCACTGAGAGAACCTTCAATTTCTCATCTTCTCACAACATTCTCATTTCACAGTACCTAAAAAAATAGATATAACGACAAAATTATAAATTCCACCAAACACAGATTTCAGTTAAGTGATAATGGAAAGTAAACCCCTCCATATTTGTAAATTCACTGTATGCAGTTTCGTTTGCAGAAGTATAGAATCTGTGGAGATATAAGAGAATAATATAAAACTCATTAAAAGAGTATATACATGTCCATGACCTTATTTATGAACGTTATCATCCAAGAAAATCTCAGGAACATAAATATCCCTTGTAAATAATGAGGTATGGCCGAACAAATCACTGGCATGAAATTTGACAGAAGGTACGAAAAGAAATGTTAAAATATAAACTTGCAGTAAGAAGGCATTATGTACAATTTCTAAAAAAATATGCAATCTGTTTTTAACACTTAGAACAAGCCAATTACATTGGTATAGACTATGATGATAAATCCTATATATCATAAATGAACACACGTAATTTATATGGAAAAGTTACGGATTACGTGAAATCCCCTGCCATGGTAACCCGTTTTTAATTGTTTTGCTACATAGAAAATATGTGCATACCTGCAAAACTATGACCACATGACAATGAAAATTGAGATTCATAAAAAAAGCAATCAATTTGCTTCTGATAATCCGAATAAAAATTAATGATTAAGGCATTACATATTCTGAAAAACATAATTAATAGGAACAAAAATCAGAACGAATAGTTACAGTAATTACAGCCATTGTTTGCCAGCCATTTTCAGTATTTCCAATTGTGATCATGAGCCAGGTCAATCAAGGGGATTCTGAGAAGTGGTTAGCTTATTCACAAACCAATCGCTTACCGGTAATGCATCATTGTTATTAACTGGGGTAATACACGCCGTGTTGTTTGTCCAGTTCCAGTTCCTCTTGAGGTGACTGAAAATATCCAGATATTCACTTCTTAGGGCACTTTTACATGGAACGATGTTAGTGTCAATGTCAGCAATGGCAGTGATCATTCCACTCAAATGATTCTATTGTCAGTACATCCACTTTGTAAATGCTCTCTAATACTATGGTATAATGCAGTTATTTGATTCAGTTTAAAGAAAAAAAGAGCTATGGATAAGAAAACATTTTCCTTGCTTTTTCCATGTATTTTTTACAACTTACAAGAAGGCATCACAGGAAAAACTGCACCAAATGACCGTATAGGTTACACACTAATAACCGCAATAAGACAGATGATGCATTTTACATGTTTTTAATTAAGAGAATTAATTAACCCCATGCCATTTCTTCTAGCCTCCTGTCACCGCTTCCCTCTTGGCAAGAGACCAACTTTCACAATGACACAAAACAACAGACAAATTTATAGTACTGTATATTTTAATCTTTACATATTTAGGTAGCAGAAAAGAGCATAAATATTTCGAAGTGCATGGTAGCAAGCATTCCCAGATTTGTATCTGTTTCTTCATGAATACAACTGTGATTTGTAAATGCCATTCCCAAACATTTAAACTTTACAACACTGTCGAAAAATTTATTAGCTATGCTTATATGACTTCGTCCTGCATTCTCGTAATAAGACATAAACATAACTTAGTTTATTCTGCATTAACATGTACTCTAGGAGTTATCAAACTTTTCCAGACCCAGGTCCACATTTATCCTTTATCTACTTGCAGGCCTTAAAGTCATAAATTCAGACATTTTATTAAATTTACTAAGAAAACTACCAAATTAGGCTACTAGCTGAGTGTAATATTAGCTACTCAAGAAGGACTCTGCTCCATACAATTTAGTCACCAAATCAGTAACAGGCCAGACAGGTCAAATTACAATTTTATATATTTTAATATTTATGTTTTAGATAGCAGCCAGGAAGACAAAAGATGACGAAGTGCATAAGTGCGCAGTAGCAAATATTCTCACAATTTAGTCTGCTCTTAATTTCCTTGTAAATGCAATTCGCATTTGTCACTGTTGTTCCCAAATATTTGAACTTTTACCGCATTATCAAAGAATTACCACCTATAAATACTCTGGACTACAATTTTCATGGGTAGTTTCCATCTACATTCTATAGAGGGCATTACCAGCAGGTAGGTACTGTCTGATGTCGCCAATTCCAGTGTCCATCATTTCTGTGGTTCTAATCAAGATCTTTGCTCATTTAATAGGTTTATTTTATTCTATTTTGTCTTAGTTTTAGGTCACTTTCACACTTACTATTGAAGAGTGTCTTCTTATCCAATTCTGACAAAACCTGATCTCAGGAGCTTATATAACTTCAGATAACTACAGTGGCCCAGTGAGTGAGGCTAGCTTTTTTTAAGGAACCAAATCGGGTAGTAGGTATTCCCCACATTTTCACCTCAGAATGGAAACAAATCCAAATGTTTACCAAATGATTCTATTGTCAGTACATCCACTTTGTAAATGCTCTCTAATACTATGGTATAATGCAGTTATTTGATTCAGTTTAAAGAAAAAAAGAGCTATGGATAAGAAAACATTTTCCTTGCTTTTTCCATGTATTTTTTACAACTTACAAGAAGGCATCACAGGAAAAACTGCACCAAATGACCGTATAGGTTACACACTAATAACCGCAATAAGACAGATGATGCATTTTACATGTTTTTAATTAAGAGAATTAATTAACCCCATGCCATTTCTTCTAGCCTCCTGTCACCGCTTCCCTCTTGGCAAGAGACCAACTTTCACAATGACACAAAACAACAGACAAATTTATAGTACTGTATATTTTAATCTTTACATATTTAGGTAGCAGAAAAGAGCATAAATATTTCGAAGTGCATGGTAGCAAGCATTCCCAGATTTGTATCTGTTTCTTCATGAATACAACTGTGATTTGTAAATGCCATTCCCAAACATTTAAACTTTACAACACTGTCGAAAAATTTATTAGCTATGCTTATATGACTTCGTCCTGCATTCTCGTAATAAGACATAAACATAACTTAGTTTATTCTGCATTAACATGTACTCTAGGAGTTATCAAACTTTTCCAGACCCAGGTCCACATTTATCCTTTATCTACTTGCAGGCCTTAAAGTCATAAATTCAGACATTTTATTAAATTTACTAAGAAAACTACCAAATTAGGCTACTAGCTGAGTGTAATATTAGCTACTCAAGAAGGACTCTGCTCCATACAATTTAGTCACCAAATCAGTAACAGGCCAGACAGGTCAAATTACAATTTTATATATTTTAATATTTATGTTTTAGATAGCAGCCAGGAAGACAAAAGATGACGAAGTGCATAAGTGCGCAGTAGCAAATATTCTCACAATTTAGTCTGCTCTTAATTTCCTTGTAAATGCAATTCGCATTTGTCACTGTTGTTCCCAAATATTTGAACTTTTACCGCATTATCAAAGAATTACCACCTATAAATACTCTGGACTACAATTTTCATGGGTAGTTTCCATCTACATTCTATAGAGGGCATTACCAGCAGGTAGGTACTGTCTGATGTCGCCAATTCCAGTGTCCATCATTTCTGTGGTTCTAATCAAGATCTTTGCTCATTTAATAGGTTTATTTTATTCTATTTTGTCTTAGTTTTAGGTCACTTTCACACTTACTATTGAAGAGTGTCTTCTTATCCAATTCTGACAAAACCTGATCTCAGGAGCTTATATAACTTCAGATAACTACAGTGGCCCAGTGAGTGAGGCTAGCTTTTTTTAAGGAACCAAATCGGGTAGTAGGTATTCCCCACATTTTCACCTCAGAATGGAAACAAATCCAAATGTTTACATTTTTAAAATTTGTAAATTTACTTTGTCCAACAAGCCAGATGTAATACCTCTAAATCCACATCACAAAGAACACGTGAGGATATTATGTGCATTCCGGTATAGAATACACATTCCGAGCTAGCTCTTGTTTCCTCTGCAGTCCACCCATACAATTAGTTGCTGAATAAGATGTAGCAGAAATATTGTGAACTGCTTCTGCACCTCCAAATCTGCATGGAGTGGTGTTTTTGCACAGATATAACTTCACCTTCCATTATTATCTTTATTACATTTTTTTTTAAGTTTCAAAACAAAAGTGCAATGATAAAATCAGCCAACTGGTTAGAAAATAACTCACAATATCCACACCTCGTGTTTCAATGTTACCAACTTACGAGAAGAACGCAGAGTCGAGTCCAGCGGCTCCTCTCTTGTCTCCTGGCACTTCCCCAGTGTCTAGGTCGGGAGCCTCTTCTGGAAATCTGGGTTGAATAGCGTCTATCATGGCCTGCTTGTTCTGCAGCACTTCCAGCACTATGTCCTTCCCAGTGACGCATATCCGGCCCCCTAACCATGAACAGTTTTTTTTTTTTTTTTGTTAAATCATGCTGAAGTAAGAAACTGACATCTGAAAATTGCAAACTATGACAAGAAGGAAACTTATCACACTACACCACTATGTGAGAATCTGGAACAAGTATCTGTCGTCATTATTTACATGATTCTTCTCAGAATTTTGCAGGTGCCTAGGAAGGAAACATGCAAATAGGACTAAAACAACTAACTTCAGAGAACAGAAACTAATAAATCATCTTTTCAAAACTACCTATGAACTGCCGTAAAACCTCATTTATTCCAAGTCCAAGGGATCAACTATGCCTCCCCCCTCCCCTCACACACACACACACAGATATATATATATAAACTTTTTAATATAAGCTTCAAAGTTATATTGAAAAAGTAGTCAATTAACAGAATAAAACAAATCTGACTGTAACAGAGCCGAAACTCAATAAGACCCTCTTTCTCTTTTGCAATCTTTGGGTGAGATACATGAAGCATTTGTTTTTGAGTAGAATTGCCTACTCTCATTAAAATTACACAAAGAAGCTACCAAAAAGTACTAGTGCTGTAAATGGACTTGGAATTAACACTGCAATAAAGGATTATCAAATGTTATTCAAATCCCACTGATGCACCTTTTTCCATGTTAATACAAGCAAGCTAAAAAATCTTTATGCAAGTATTTTTTTAAGTAATTACTGAGACAAGGAAAACAAGTATTTAAGCTCTTGTGTGAAGTGATTGTTAAAAATGCCTAATGTAAACAGAAATGTCTCAACAATTTGTTGAAAAATTCTCCAGTATAAAATTTAATCAAAATCAGTTTATCCATTATCAAGTTTCTTCCTACAGACAGATGGACTAAAGAAGCAGTTTTAATTAAACACAATGCAGAGTTATAAATGCACCTAATGAAAAAAGACAATTAGAGGAAGGGGCTAATATGCATGGTAGTCTTACATTAAATGGGTGCCTGTCCTTGATATAGGGTGCCATCTTCCTCAAAATTTGAAGCTTTCATAGCAAGTGAATACAATGAAGTCTTGTGAGAAAATCAGATGTGTGAGAATGGAGTCAATATTCAAGTCCATTATGAAACAGCTGATCACCCAAGAAGACTTCACTGCTTTCCTCTTATACAGTGTTCAATTAAAGTATGAAGGTTTCCTCCACATTGACATACCCAACTGTGTATGGATACAGAAGTTCCACATCTCATACCAGTATCTGTCCACATCACCCAACGTATGAAACTCATATCTGTGTTCAGTATATATTATATCGTCCGACACCTGATGATAGCTTGGTCTTGAAGATGTTGTGTCTAATAATGTTGTCTTGCGGTTAAGGAACACAAAAACCTGAAATATAAAGTGTCCTACATGAATTAAATACAAAAGCATGTTTATTAACAGGGCAGGCCATACTGGATTAAAGTGTACCTTGAATGTACTTAAAAATATAATGTATTGATGCAAATGTTGTTTAAGATATTATTATGATAGCAGAAGTGGCTTCTTAACCACAAACAGAATGGATAAGGGCAAATCAACTATCACTGGGTGAAACACTTTATAGGACTTATAATCTTTTAGGCTATCTTCTTCAGCAAAGCATACCTGATCCTTTTCCTTGAGGCGCTGAGGGCCAAACTGAACGAGACCAACGTAACAAAGGCGCTGCATCACCTCATGAATACTGAAGATGTAACGTCTGGCTATTATGAGGGTATTACGTAAGCGTGAGGGCAGATGCCGGACAAGATAATGACGGCGTATTGGATGCATCAAGTAATGTTCTAGGTCCGGGATTATGAATGAGACATTGAACACCTTTACAAAAATGCATAATGGCAAACGCAACAGCAGATCACACATGATGGCCCAGCCTTGAGGCCAACCTGGAAAAATTACCCAAATTCAGTACATTGAATTATTCTGGTTTTACATTAAATCCACAATATTAAGACCTGCATCACAAAGACCTCACATATAAAAAAGCAAAATTTTGCTTTGTGAAGTCAATTTCATATAAAAGTAGATAAAAGTGAAAAATAAATGGACTTATATGTAATGCAAAATATACAGGTTGAACAAAAAACTTGACACTTTCAAAATGATATACAAAACACGCTCAAGGGCGACATGAGGATTTTCTGTTCCCAACACACGGAAATTATGCTGGTTCACTTTACTGTTGATGTGAAAAGTTGCCTCATCACTAAAAATGAACCTTGCAAACAAGTCGTCATTCTCAGTCCTGGCTAGGATCTTGCGCAGAATTCATATTGTACAGCCAAATCTTCTGGATTCAGAGCCTGGACCAACTGAAGTTTGTATGGTTTCATAAGTAAGCACTTATGCAGGATTCTGGAGACTTGTTTGTGGTAACTGTAACCCATGACTCGCTTGGATCGGTGATTTTTGCGGGCTGCACTGGAAGCAAGTCTGAACACAGTCCACAGATACATCACACAGAGGGCAGACCAGGACTTCTGCCCCTGAAAATGCACCTTTTCTGCTTGAATTACTTGTACAAGGCATAAATGGATACTCAGCTGGGTGGTTCCACATGAAATTTTGTGCGACATGCACGTTGCACAGCTGCGATAGATTCCTTCTTTGCTAACTACAGAACACACCAAAAACGCTGTTGTAAAGTAGCCTCTTTCAAAACTAGTTGCATCTAGTGGAGGCATGCAACAAAAACAATCACCCTTAATATTTCAAACAAAACTTTGAGATTTTCTATCCACTGGCGTGGGTGTGAAATTCCATGTATGCTGCACTTGTTTTCTATATCATTTTGAAAGTGTGATGTTCTTTTGTGCTCAATAGCCA